TTATTATTATTATTATTATTATTATTATTATTATTATTATTACATGCATGGGAACTTCGTTTTCATGTACATGATGCACTAGAGTCATTTTGGAATTCGGTGCATTGAGAGTGTATGATAGTGGTGAAATGGAATATAAGGAAACAGTTTGCGATTATGAACCATTTTGAACTGGGTCGCGATAGGGACCAGTGACGGGATTTTGAACTTCTGGGAGACGCAGCAACAGGGAACATCTAAACTTTCTGACTGTACAGGAAAAACTCTGTGTACACAATCAGTCCGTTCAGAAGTCATGTAGGCTAATCAAGCCGTTACGTCGTCTTTTAATCGGATCTGTGAGTTGGGAAAGTCAACATGTCCGCCTGTCAGGTTCAGACGCATTCCTATCGGATCCAGTCAGAGGAAATGCCGTAGCCTGCCGAACGCAGTCTTACCTTCATCTACAGGCAAGGCCCACTGGGCGGCGCTCAGCACAAACAGCTCACTCCACGCTTCCTCTAGCAAGATGGCCTGGTCGCGAAACGTCAGCTGCAACATATAGCCAAGTGAGGAGAGACGGTCCTCATCACATGTTACTTGTAGGATTAAGGGGAAAACACATAACGTGCTGAGGAGAATGGAAGTAACAGAAGTGTGGGAAAAATAAAATTTAGTTTCGGATAATATATCCTGTTTGCAAAATTCGGGATAGTTCAGTCGGTATGGGAATGGATTGCAGGTTGGACGACCGGGTTTGATCCCCGACAGAGGCGAGAGATCTTTCTCTACTCCGCAACGTACAGACCGGCTATAGATCTTATCCAGCCAATGGGAACTGGGAGGCTGTCTCCCCGGGATTAAAGCGGCCGGGGCGTGAAGCTGGCACTTTGCCTTCATCGAGTGCCTAGGTCAAGAATGGTGGAGCTAAACATCCACTATCTCGCATGTCTTCATGGCGTGGTGCTTAATTAAACACATTGACTATGAGATGGTTGGACGTGCAACATGCATAGAACAATTGAGAAATTACTACAAACTTATAACGGAAAACCTGAAGGGAAGTATCCACTTTTGAGACCGAATTGTAGATTGCAGGATAATATTAAAATGTCTTGAATAAATTGAATGTGAAGATGACTGCAATGAACTGGTTCGGGACAGTAGCCAGGTAATGCATGTAGGGCTGACAAAACTGGGGGGGGGGGTTATTGACCAGCTGAGCGACTATCGGCTTCTCGAGGACTCTGGTTCACTGGGCATAATCATCTGTCATCTGTTGAGAAAGGTACACAGGAAACTACTGAGACAGTCGCTGGGTGCTGGCCACTGTTCATGAATTGTGAGCATATTCCGTGGACATCAGCAAATGAAGACAAATGCTGTTTGGAGTCAGAAGAAATTTGCACAAATAAAAATTCCTGAAATGTGAACATTAGATAATGATATTTAATACATACTACAATAATCACTGAACAAATGTCTGTTTCCTTCATGATGTTATACCTGCAGGAATGATGGAATGCTTCGCGCCCATTTTACCGCCAGGAAGAGCAGCTTGGCTGCTGATTCATATACATTTTCTGCCGGTAGGAGCGTGAGACAGGTGAGGTCGAGCGGACGTAGTGAGCACGGTCGGCTCAGAGATGGCGCAGGTGTCAACCTTCCGCCCTCGTTCGTTCGGTACCCCCGATCACACGCATCTGTGAGGTGGCAAAATATATCATCGGTCAAGTCTATGAGAAAAAACCCTTACTTTCATTTAGTAAGTTGGGGATGAGATTAGGTCTACTTGGGGCCCATTGTACCAGTCCTGGATGACAGATGAGTATGAAACATTCGATGGAATAACTAACAGGGGTGAACGAAGTACTAGGAGAAAACCAGCCCCAGTGTCACACACCTCTTGCTTAATTAAAATATGTCGATATTCATTAAATTGTAGGGCATAAGGAAATACAATTTTCCTTGAAAAATATTAGTATCATAGAAAAGTATTCAGTTTCTTTTTATTGCTAGTGGGGTGGGACTAAGTCCCTTGCACTGCGACCACTTCTGGCCTATTGTACCAGCCCCAGATGATAGGTGAGGGTGATTGTGGAGCAATTGGTGGAATGAAGACTGGCAGATGAAACCGAAGTACTCGGAGAAAACCTGCCCCAGCCCCACTTTGTCCACCACAAATCCCACTGAACCAGACCCGGGATCGAAACCGGGCCGCCGCGGTAGGAAACCAGCGACTAACCGCTTGAGTTATGGCGCAGCCTAAAATATTCAGTTAGTAGGGGTGCAGATATCAACATTCCCAAAACAAAAACAAAGAAAACAAACTCCAAGTTAGTATAAATACGAACATCAGTCACAGAACAAACTTTCCTGATTTTTAATAGCGTAGTTGACATAAGTAATCTTTGTCCGGAGGTTCATTAACATGCTCACAAGAGCCCTCCACTGGTCCCTATCCTGAGCCAGTTCAATCCAATCCATACCATCCCATCCTATCTCTTTAAGATCCATTTTAATATTGTTCACACATCTACGCCTTGGCCTTCCCACTGATCTCTTTCCTTCTGGCTTTCCCACCAATATCCTACGTATATGCATTCCTCGTCTCTCCCATTCGTGCTACATATCCTGCCCACCTCATCCTTCTTGACTTGATCGTTCTAATTATACTTGGAGAAGAGTACAATCTATGAAGCTCCTCATTATGCAGTTTTCTCGAACCTCCTGTCACTTCATCTCTATTCGGTCCAAATTTTCTCCTCAACTCCCTCTTCTCAAACACCCTCAGTCTATGTTCCTCCCTTAATGTCAGAGACCAAGTTTCACACCCATACAAAACCACAAGCAAAATTATAGTTTTGCATATTCTAATTTTTATGTTTTTGGACAGCAGACGAGAAGACAAAAGGTTCTGGACTGAATGGTAGCAAGCACTACCCGAGTTCAATCGCCTCTTACTTTCCTCCTGAATCAGGTTTCGATCTGTTATCGTTGTTTCCAAATTACTGAACTGTGCCACATTTTCAAAACATCCTCTCTCTATCGTTACGTCATGATTTTGCCCTGCATTTTGGTGACGAGACAGCAACATACAGGGTGTTTCACGACTTTAGGGCATAACTGCAGGAGATGATTTCCTAGGTCTTTGTGATCAAAAAAGTTCATATAAACATGTGTCCGAATTTGGACGGTTACGGAGTTATGACCGTTTTTTCATTCCGGTACACGCCCTCGTGTGAACCGCGTCTGTCAGGTGGCGGGTCGCTACTTTTAGCCAGCTACAGACAGAGCGTTCTCGTTATCTGGACACTTGAGATGTACCTAAGGCGGGGTGGGTTGGTATATCCGGCGCGGTTCACAACCGAGCAGCAGCCTGTGTTGCGGCCGGCGGTGGCATTTTCGAAAATCAGCTTTAAGCACCAGTAAATTCAAATTAAAGGTAATTTCACGAAGTTAACTTTACATTCATACTTTACATGTATCATGTATTATGCTGGTTTATTATTTTGTTCCGTTTATTGTCAATAATCGTTACCTTATATTCTGAGTTTAAAACGGTCATAACTCCGTAACCGTCCAAAATCGGACACATGTTTATATGAACATTTTTTTATCACAAAGACCAAGGAAATCACCTCCTGCAGTTATGCCCTAAAGTCGTGAAACACTCTGTATGCTTAGTTTTCTCTGTTTACTTCTAGACCAACCTCCTTGCTAGCGTCAATTAAAGTTTGTATTTTTTTCTTTGTTGTATCTACATTATCACCCAGTAGATTCAAATTATCAGCATAGATCAAAAGCTGATGTGTCCCATTTAATTTTACTCCCACATGGTTTTCCTGGACCTTAATGGCATATCCCATAGCAAAGCTGAAAAGCAGTGGTGATAAAGCATCTCCTTGTTTTAGACCATTCTGGATAGGAAAATTATCAGACAAATATTTACCTATATTCACTTTACTATACGTTTCGTTTAAACACATTTTAATGATTGGATCAAATGTTAGGACATCTTTAAGGCTGAAAATGGAGTTCTATCTCTCTCTCATTTTATAATTGCAACCATCTTCTAAGAAAGTGAACCTCTGTATAAGAACACTATAAATATAACAATATTGACCAACCTCTGACTTCTACATTGTTATCATTTTCTGAGAAGGCTTTCGCCTCTTCTGAACTTGTTACTTCGTCTTCCTTGGCGCTTGCGGCTGACGATGCCGGTGTACGACCAAGCTGTTGCTGGTAGCTGTCCGTTGCATTAGTAGGAGACGGAGCCGGGGATCCGAGCGAGTGCAGCTGAAACTGCAGACCTAAGCAAAGAGAATTCATGAATTGTTTGCCCGGTAAGGAACTCAAATACGGTTAAATGTTATCTATCTTTACACTACAGGCATAACCCTGAGTCTGTTTCACCACTCTTGTTCACTTACTAATGCTTACAGACGTGCTCCAAAATTTGTCATGACGTCCTACAAAGAGCCGAACTAAACAATAAAATAAGCTGCTGGCTTCCACCGCGGCGGCCCGGGTTCGAGCCCGGGCCTGGTCTAGTGGGATTTATGGTGGACAAAGTGGCCCTAGAGCAGATTTACTCCGATTACTTCGGTTTCACGTGCGAATCCCCATTCCACCAAATTCTCCATTGTCATAATCACCCGGGGTAGGTACAATAGGCCAATCAGTGGCCGATGTGCCGAGTGGACCCAGCTGGACTCCACACCCCACCATGCCAATTAAAGAAACAACAATATAATACTAATAGAACCTGAATAGCTCAGTTGGTATAGCGACGGGCTACGGGCTGGATGGCCGGGCTTCGATTCCCAACAGAGCCCAGACCTACTCTGGGGACCATTCGAACTTTTACCCAATGGATACCGGGGGCTATTTCCACTGGGTAAAAAGGTCGGCGTGTGAAGCTGACCGCACATCTCCGTCTAGTGTCTAAGTCAAGAAGGATGGAGTTGTACCTCCATTCGCCCATACTTCATATTATGTGCTAAATTAATTAAACACGTGGTCAGCTTTACCTTTTTTACTACTACTGCTACTACTACTACTAATACTACTACCAATAATAATAATAATAATAAATCTAAAAGGTAAAGGTATCTCTGTAACAGGCCATGGAGGTCCACAGGGGTATGAAATGTCGAGGCTCCCACATTTTCTAGACAGTCGGCTCACAGATGGGGGTGAGGTTGTCAGCCTTACGCCTCGGCCGCCCTTTACCCTCCAGGAAGATTCCTGGTACTAATTTATGTTAGAGGCTGAGTCGACCCCAGGGCCATAGTGCGGCTGTAAGGATTACGTCAATTGAAAAATCCAATGACCCCATTGGGAATCGAACCCGCGACCTCCCGTTTTTTAGCATAGAATTTCAACCAACTACGCTACTGTGTGCCCCAATAGTAATAATAATAATAATAATAATAATAATAATAATAATAGCAAAATACACTCTCAATGAAAGTAGAATTTCACACAATATTTTTACCGAAGATATAGGTTTACATAAGATGTTCAGAAAGGTAAAGTTGTTCTTGTGTTTAACGAATTACGCACTACGCCATGAAGGCGTATGGGGGAGCAGTTAAATAGATTCACTTTTCTTGACCTCGGCGCTAGCTGGAGATGAGTGGTCAGCTTCACGCCTCGGCCGCTTTACCCCCGGGGAAGGAACACCCAGTACCCATGGGATAGGATGCTGGGTAGGCCCCATAGCCGGTCTGGACGACGTGGAGAAGAGAATATTCTTGACCCTACCGGGACTCGAACTCCGACACCTCCACCGTCCAGCGACTTGCTATACCGACTACTGCTTTCAGTTGGCCCTGGCTGAGGTCCAAGGCGGGTTCTCAAGAGCAGAACAGTGAAGCTTTGCTTTACGTAAAGGGCGGAACGCGATGAGCTGGAGAAATGAGTTCGCAACGCTCCGCCCTGCTCACCCAGTGGCGCTGTGAATGCAGAAGCAGACTGCTTAATGGCAGCGAAGGGTAGCGTGGCGGTCGAAGCTGTTGTCGGGCCGTAAGTGAGGAGCTGTTGCTGCAGATATGCTGCCGCCACTGCCGCTGAGTTATGCTGCAGGCCACTGCACAACCCTGGCGCTGGTGTCTGAATGCTTCTGCAACAGTTCACGCTTAGTTCCTTAACACTGTTCTCCTCGCGAGGCCGCTATTCAAAGCGTTAAATGCTCTTTATGGGACTGTAATTAAGACTTAAATTTTTGTCTAGTTATTTCTTTGCATTGGCACTACAGCCCCAGTGGACCTAGGCCTACCTCCATGAACGTCTCCGTTCACTTCGGTTTTTCTAGATCTTACACACTCGGTAGGACTCCTTGGGCGGGTGATCAGCTCGTCGCACGGCCTCTACCTGTACACAAACACAGATAAACGCACACACACAAACTAAACATCCATGCCCTGAGTGGGATTCGAACCCACGATCCCGGTTTCCAAGAGAGCGAAGACAGTACATGCCTTAGACCGCTCGGCTACCGTGACCGACGTCTAGTTATTTTGCCAAGTATAATTATAATAATCAAATCAAAGATGCTGAGACTGGCAGGACATGTAACACAAATAGCGAGAAGAAGAATGCATACAGGATATTGGTGAGAAAGCCAGGAGGAAAGAGACCACTAGGAAGACCAAGACGTAGGTTGGTGGATAATATTAAAATGGATTTTAAAAAGATACTATGGGATGGTATGGACTGGATCGGTATGGCTCAGGAGGGTTTTTATGAAGACGGTACTGAACCTGCTGGTGCCATAAAATGCTGGGAAGTTCTTGAGTAGCTGCACACTTGGCAGCTTCTCAAGAAGGACTCATCTCCGTGAGTGAGCGATTCCTATTAATGTGCTTTCGTAATATATAGTTTTATTGCAGACATGGGCCTACTTTAAATNTAATTATAATAATCAAATCAAAGATGCTGAGACTGGCAGGACATGTAACACAAATAGCGAGAAGAAGAATGCATACAGGATATTGGTGAGAAAGCCAGGAGGAAAGAGACCACTAGGAAGACCAAGACGTAGGTTGGTGGATAATATTAAAATGGATTTTAAAAAGATACTATGGGATGGTATGGACTGGATCGGTATGGCTCAGGAGGGTTTTTATGAAGACGGTACTGAACCTGCTGGTGCCATAAAATGCTGGGAAGTTCTTGAGTAGCTGCACACTTGGCAGCTTCTCAAGAATTTTTTAATATTATTTAGATAAATTTTATGCGTCAGAAGTTTTACAAGTAGCAATCTGCATTATCCGCATTGCATGCAATCCTTTGTGTTGTCTCTGCGTGTAAGACCTGCTACTGCTTCACCTTACTTTCGCTGTTCCTACTTTAACTCCGTTCAGAAACTGTTCGACTGGGCGATCCTGGTATTGTTCTCGGCTTATTTAATCCTTCAAGCACCAAGTCTCGAAAATTTCGACATATAATTAAAATTGCTATACCCGCCTCTGTGGTCTAGTGGTCAGCGTTCCTGGCTACAGATCCAGAGGTCCGGGTTCAATTCCCGGCGCTACCAGATTTCTTTCTGAGAAGTAGTGGGTCTGGTACGGGGTCCACTCAGCCTTGTGAGGATAACTGAGGAGCTACTTGAATGAAAGTAGCGGCTCCGGTCTAGAAAACCGAAATTAACGGCCGTGGGGATCCGCTGCGCTGACCACGCGACACCCTCTATCCGCAAAAATTGGCACTAAAATTTCGCTGAAAAGGGACGGTCGCTCGGTCGGTATAGTTCGCTTGCGGACTGCAGGCAACGGAGTTTTATTTGGCTACATGTTTTTCATTGCTTTGGCTTGGCACTGTAGGAATTACAGCTGAAGTTTCTGGCAGCAATGACACTCAGTAACTAGATCAGGAGCCCTTGCAGCGTCGAGATGAGCGACTCATCACATGATAAATTTTCAGATAGGCAGACTGACTGACTGACTGACTGACTGACTGACTGACTGAGAATTTGAATGAGCTGATAGTTGATTGATTTGCTGGTTACTGAAAAACATTGAATGAATGTCCAGCTAACAGTATGAATGACAGACTTTATGGCTGACTGATTGACTCTGACTAAGGAATCTACAATCCATTGCAAAGAGTGCGTCACAAGTCCAACACCACTAATTTAAATCCTCACATTTTTATCCGATGTCGAATCAATTCAATCACTTTCGCATTATAAACACCAGTTCCCTCAGTAACCCCCCCGCCTCCCCGCCTCCCCACAAACTGCATTTACGAATTTTGTTCTCAGAGTAAACGCCCGGTTCCCCAATACCGTTAGCCGAGTGGTGGATGTGCAGTTGGGGGTGTCCCATGCCCTTCTACACAGTCATATGATTGAGTACCCAAGTCCAGGGCATAGAGCAGCTGTTGCCGGCGGCAGGTCCAGGAGGCCTGGCGGAGGCGCCCCAGGGTGGTACAGTGACCTCCGCGCCCCGCTGTAGTGGTGATGGTGGTGATGAGACAGCGGGTTCCGTGGCGCCCTCTCATGCTGCACCGCTGCAAGAAGAGAAGCTCAGGTTACTCTGTGTCAGACAGAACCAGCGGGTGCGCTCTCACCGTGCGCTGGTAAGCTCGAGTTCGCGGACTGCCACAGCCGAAGCTCTTCATCGAAGGACCTTCGGAAGAACTGTCCAGGGTCCTACATGCCTTGAGCAGGGAACAGTGCAGACCGGTAACAGGTCTGACTGCTCACTGTACGCCGAGAAGGCAACTCACGGATAACACTGCTTGCAGAAAATGTGGTCAGGGGAAAGAATCCATGTGATTGCCCTGTTTTGGCAGGGCATAAAATGAAAGTCCTGGGCTTTGCGTGGGTGGGGCCGATATATATTAATGGGGCCCCAATCAGACAGGTTCTGATTGTAGCATTGCGGATGGGGCTGTTCTGAAGGGTCCTAGTGAAGTCGGAGGCGTATAATGGATCCAGTACTGATCTGAGTGTTTGGGGAGACTAGAAGTTGTCCCCCCCATGTCAGTATTCACTATTCAGTGTCAGAATCAAAAGAGAATTTCACATCTTGTTTGAAAGGAAGGGACGCTAGGACTCGGGGTCCGGTCAACTTCGTGAAGCCTTCGTGAACTGTTCGTCTGTTTGCTCCTTTACAGTAAAATGCACACTCATAGGCCAACATACGTAAACATGGGGCAGGCTGGTGTAGCGGTAGATTTCGAGATTTGTGTTCAGGAGATATTGTATTCGAATCCTTGCCGGGAAGCCGGCTTCCTGGTTCAGAGTTTCTGCGATTATTCTCAGTCCCTCCAGGCAAAATCCAAATTTGTATCTTAAATTATGTTATGACCACTTCCTTCCGAATAGGTCCAGTTCCTAGTTCATCCCGTCGCTTGACTTTACATAAACCAGCTAGTGATCGCGCCGTGAAATCACATATAAAGACAAATACTTAAACTCTGTCAGCGCAAAGAGCCTATGATGCCCACGTATGTCAGAGAGTCACACGGATTTAGTGCTGTTATAGGACAAGACGTTGATTTTAGAAATGAACCGTTTTCGGTAATTTGTGCTTCTTAATTCTTCATAATGATACACAATTTTCAACATGGCAGATAACCAAAAGTTATATATTGTGAAACATTAATGCAGGCCAATAATATATAATATATATTTTATATATAAAATAATATAATATGTAACTTGAAAACAGGTCTTGTCGAATTGTACTTACATGCGTAGCTACCACAAGAGAGAACTCTTTTCCTTATCTGATTTTAAATTCACAGAACATTTATTATTTCACCAACGTAAGAGACGTTATGACACACCTCGCTATGGTTTGCTTATCACTGTGCTTGAATAAACTACAAGTCATGAAGGCATAAAAAGAGACTTGAGGAAAATTACACATTCTTAGCCTGAGTACTGGCTGGAGATGAATGCTGGGTCCA